AAAAATTCCCAAACCAGCTTGCCTGTATTACAGAATAGCCTTTCATAAGCTGCAAATTGGCTCTACCTATCTTCCCTGCTGACAGTTTCATGCACCAAGTCCACAGCTCCAGGGTGAATTCTCCCTTCTCAGCTATACTTCTGGAAAATCCTCCGTCTACCAGGAGATACTCTTTCACTCTGACTTCCCTCTGGCCTGAGAATCATCCTGTCAGGGACAGGAAGGAGGTATATTTATTCGTCTGCTGCATTTTAGAGTTTCACTTTGGTTGGCACATGGTCTGCAGCTCTCACCTCATTTATTTCATGCAATGTATTTACTAAGTGACCCAACACAGGGTCACTTTCTATCCAGTTCCTGTTAAAGACACTACAGCGTTTTTGCCTACTTTTTCCTAAGAAATACCAGGGGCATTACCACTCATCACCTTGTTCAATTTATTAAATTTGCAGAGTAACACGTGTGGTGTAGAAGAGCTTCCTTCCATCTCCTTCTCTCCCTCCCCCCACCTCCTATTTTTGCAGTGCTAGGATTAGAACTCAGGGCCTCATGCATACTAGCCAAATCCATGCTTTCCTCCTCCCCCCCAGCCCAGAGAACTCTTGGTGAGTACAGTGTTAGAAACAGGCTGATTTTCAACAGTTACTGATTTTCAAGTCTGTCTTGTTTTAGTATTATGCAGTCTGACACAAAGCGAAATCTTAGTTGACTAAGCTCATATTCAACAAATCTCACTTTCTAACCCAAGAAGCCTATTTGGTTAATGTCAATGCCTGGCCTTTGCGTGGGCCTAGGGCAACCACAATGCTGGTGGGTTTGCAGTACTGCAGTGTGAGTAACATCATGACAGGGGAGCACTGCCGGTCCAGTAGGCCTGTTCTCCTGAAAACTCAGGGCAGAAGGAATGTCCAGGCTGGGGCCATTGCCTGTCGGCAAAGGAAGGCAACAACGGTAACAACGAGGGTAGAACCGAGGCCCAGTGTCTGTGCAGACAGGTACGCACACACCTCCTCTCTCAGGAGTGTTCTGGGAAATGTGATGTTGGAATCGCGGCCCAGTGTCTGTGCAGACAGGTACGTACACACCTCCTCTCCCAGGGGTGTTCTGGGAAATGTGAGGGTAGAACCCAGGCCTAGTGTTTGTGCAGACAGGTATGCACACACCTCCTCTCCCAGGGGTGTTCTGGGAAATGTGAGGGTAGAACCCAGGCCCAGTGTATGTGCAGACAGGTACGCACACACTTCCTCTCCCAGGAGTGTTCTGGGAAATGTGAAGGCTTTCCAAGTTTCAAGCAAAAACAGAGCTAAGCTAATTCTCAACCTAACAAGACAAGCAAAAACTACTAAAACCAAGTTAAAAGATAAAAATGGCACAGGAAGAGTCCCTCAGGAAGTGGGAAGAGGGCAGGCCTGGCGTAGGCCACTTTCTAGTCCCTCCTGTTACATTTCTAGACCTTTCCTTTTGAGAGATACAAATCAAGGTGGGGAGGGGAGTTCCCCTAGAATTAGAAATCAGGATCTAAGTTTTTCAGAAAAGATGTTTTTGGTTTTTTTTTTTTGTTTGTTTTTGGGTGCTGGTAATAGGGCTTGAATTCGGTGCCTCGGTGTTGTCCCTTACCTTGTTCGCTCAAGGCTGACGCTCTACCACTTGAGCCACAGATCCACCTCCAGTCTTTTGGTGGTTAATTGGAGATAATGGTCTCACAGACTTTCATGCATGGGCTGGTTTTGAACCGTGATCTTCCAATCTCAGCCTCCTGAGTAGCTAGGATTATATGCGTGAGCCACCAGCATCTGGTGATCTCTTCTTTTTCTTGAATGCTGGGCATTGAACTCAGGGCTTTTTGTATGCTTAGCACACACTCTACCAACTGAGCTACACTCCCATCCTCAAAGGGACTTTTAATTTAGGCCTGGAGCCTTTCAATAGTTATCTACGTCACTTCAAGACCCTGCTGAGGCCTTCTAGTGGACTGGAAGAGCACTGGGTAGGGACCAGGGTCTGGTCCTCTTGGGGAAACCTGATTCCTAGAACTCTAGGAATCTAGAGCTGAATTGTAGACCAATTGTGGTGAGTGCTGTCAGTGAGAAATAAGATTTCTGCTGCTGACTTAGGGAGGCAGGAAGAGAAGAAACAACAAGTTTTAAGTTTCAGATTTTCAAAAACTGAATTGCCTTCCTCCAACGAGTATTACCATGTGCCCCAAGAAGGAAACACCAGGTTCTAACTGTGGCGTTTCTCTCTTCCTCTTGGGGCCTGGCGATGTGTGCTTGGTGCCTCAAGTGCACCAGAGGCTTCCTTCAGAAAGGGATGTTTCTTCCACTCTTGGCTAGGAGCACAGCAGGTCTCTGTGGGCAGAGCCCTCGGGGGCCTGGCCACGGAGCACACAGGGCAGCGGGAAGGAGGCAGTGGTGTGAGTCAAGCAGCAGTTACCAGGTATCCACTCCACAGAGATGCGTTCTACAAACTGGAAGAAACAGCCTCTTTCTTCTATGTCATTCCCCCCTGGAATCTTTTGACAACGTAAATCCAAAAGACTAGAATTTGGAGTCACAGAAACGAAAACAGCCCGCTGCCATTTTCTCACTTGAAGGGTAGAGTACAGAGAGCAGACAACACATACACAAGACTATCCATTGGGCAAAAGCCAGCATCTCAAGCTGGGAAGGCTGAGTGACAGAACACATAAAGGAGGAGGCCGGGGCAGCTCCTTCCCTGAGTTTCTGGATGTAAAAAAGTCTTTTTACACCTTGAGATAAACGTCCCTAGGCAGTGTTAGGAGGGGGCGGGAGGAGAGAGTCAGGAAATGAGGCAGGTGGGATGTGTTAACCGGGTGGAAGCACCAGCCCTTTTTCCGTGTCAGTGGCCGCAACGGGCGCCCCAACATTCCTGAAGCTTGGGATGCTGAGGGAGTCTGCAGCCAGGTGGGACTCCTGGGAGCAGAGACCACGCCACGCCCTTGCTGACTGGTGGAGGTAACTGAGCGTATGGCACCGTGCTAGCAGGAGTCAGAATTAGGGCCTTTTTGTTTTGTGCTGTTAGGGATGAGACCCAGGGTCTCATATGCACTCAGCAATCCCTCTACCACTACTGCCTTGCCCTGGCTTCTATCTATCTATTTATCTATCATCTATCTTCTAAAAAGGATGGGCTAAACAAATGGGGCAGGATATTGTCTTTATTAGCTCTGTTTTCAGGAGACTTGGAGTCCCCAGTATGCCCAGTCACAAGCAGGAGCCAGAACCCATGCCTACCCTGGGCACCAGAGCTGGGCATTCCTTTTGCTGTCAGGCAGCCTTCCGTGGGGAGGCTGTCCAAGGTCTGGGCGTGAGACCTGGACTGGCCAGTTCTCTAAGGCAGGGGTATGGGCATTCTTCCTGCGGAGGGCTGTTTATTATTATTATTATTTTTTTTTTTTTGTCGGTCATGGGGCCTGAACTCTGGGCCTGGGTGCTGTCCCTCAGCTCTTCAGCTCAAGGCTAGCGCCCTACCACTTGAGCCAAAGCGCCACTTCCAGCTTTTTCTGCTTATGTGGTGCTGAGGAATCGAACCCAGGGCCTCATGCATGCAAGGCAAGTGCTCTACCACTGAGCCACCTTCCCAGCCCCCGGAGGGCTGTTTATAACCTCAATTGTCAGTAGGGGCAGAGGGGCCCCAGGGAGCCCGGGGAGAGCTAATGAAGGCACATGTGTACCTTGTGGGGCCCCACGTGGTTTTGGGGGACTCCCACCTGCACTAGCACAACAGCAGGCCCTTGTTTCCTTTTCTTTTTGGTTGGTTGTGGGGCTTGAACTCAGGACCTCGGTGCTGTCCTTGAGCTTTTCTGCTCATGAGTCACAGCAGCACTTCCGGTTTCCTGGTGGTTAACTGGAGGTGGGAGTCTCACGGACTTTCCTGCTGGCTTTGAACTGTGATCCTCAGATCTCAGCCTCCTGAGTAGCTAGGATGACAGGTGTGAGCCACCAGTGCCCAGCTGCTAAACTTCTTTTTAGCTGGAGTTCCCGGCCTTCGAGGTACCATCAGCTGGGTCTCCTGACACTGGGGGGGGGGGGGGGGGGGGGGCGCCCAGGCCTCACCTACGGAGTTCTGAGAGGGGCCTGAGACTCTGCCTGTGTAACAGTGAGGCAGCAGCTGCTGCTGCTGCTGGCTTAGAGCCCATAGGTGGAAAACCACTACCGTGGCTTCTCCTACCTTCCCTGACAAGTACAAGCTGAGTTCTGGACATGCGTGGAGGAGGAAGGGACTTCTCCCAACTTCGCCACACGCTCGTGAACTGGGCAGAATCACACTAGTGAAGCTACCCACGTGCACCGGGACTTGAAGGAAATCCGAGTGCTCCTTCACATGTGAAATGGCCCAGGCCAAGCTCTCCCCTGCCCCCACCCTTATCCGTGTGGTGGTACCAGGCCCTGTGTATGCCAAGCACATGCTCTACCACTCGCCTCGCCACCACCACATGCCCGCTTACTAAGTGGCTGACAGTGAGCCTCCTAGTCACTATGAGAGCTACACGGTGTGAGGGCTGAGACTCGAGACACAAGTCAGGCAGACTGGAGCGGGTAGATGCTGCCGCCCGAATGCCAGCAGTAAGGGGACCAGGACGCAAGGCTGATGAGGAAAATCTCGAAGCAGCAGCAGCTTTACAGAAACTTTTTCTTTTTTTGGTGGTACTGAGGTTTGATCTCAGGGCTGCATGCTCACTAGCCAGGTGCTCTACCACTTGAGTCACACCTCCGGCCTCTAAAAGCTATCTAGAGCATACATGAGATCTGACATGCTGCTCCTTTCTTGTCTGTGTGCTTTTGCTTGCAGTGCTAGAGGTGGAACCCAGGGCCTGATGCATGCTAGGCAGGTGCTTTACCACTGAGGATGGAAAAGGGTTTGTGCTGTTGCAGTTTGGTTATCAGGCTGGCTTCTTGCTCCCTTTTGTGAGCAAGGCCTGGGGAGGGCAGAGGGGAAGAGGGTTGCAGGGTTAGTGCAACAGACGCTGCTATACATACCACCCAGGTGCAAGTCGATGAGGCCACTGTAATAAGACTCTCCCCAATAGTCTACAACAAGGAATCGGTGAAGAAAGTTACTCGGTTAGATGACCCTGCGTCCCCATGCCCGAAGCCACCAGGGAAGCGCGAGAGAGGCGTACAGGTCAGTGCGGGGGTGAGCAGGGCCGGCTGGGGAGCATGCGATCGCATGCACGCGTGCAGGCAACCTCGGTCCCGCGTGGTGTGTGTGTGGGGGGTGACTGGACACCAGCGGGCGAGCTGATGGCCAGTGCCAGTGCCTCCTGGGCAGGAACTCCAGTCTCAATACTAGAAATATCTGCAAGCCTAAGTCGCTTTGAACACAGCCAGGGAGCTCCAGACAACTGTGTACGTGACCCCCACGGGGCGGAACTGCACACGCCTTCAGAAAGCTTCTTTGGCAGATAAGCTTCTTCTGAGGTGTGAGCTCCTGGCTTCAGCCAGCAGTTCTCCTTAGACACAGGCAACGTCCTCACCCGCCTGCCCCACCCTCTGCCCTGAGGCCTGTGGCCATAGGCACTCTGAGCGTTGTAGCTCCTCTGGCTGCTCCGGGAGGGAGCGATCTCACACCTGAAGTCTGGGCCTGCAAGGGCTGGCCTTGAGCAGGTCCTCCTCTTCCAGAGCACATGCAGACTCAGCTGTGTCACCCTTCTTCTAGACCTGCAATCTGGGTGCTGGTTCTGGAAGCCCTCCTCAGAGTCTCCCCTTCAACCATGGACACTTCAGAAAGCTGAATGCCATACCGCATGGCTTCCAGTCCATGTTGAAGGCCAGTTCATCCAGTGAGCCTAAGTCTGAATCAGGATTCCAGAAGCAAAGAAGCTCCCGTATGTTCTAGGACCAGAAATCTGCTAAGTCTTGATCTCACCCTAGGCTCAAAGGCTCTGAAGTTAATCCTTGTGAGGGATACAGAGCAGCTTCTGAAAAGAGAGGCCAACTGGTGGTAGGCCTGTATCAGACTGTTCTCTGGAAGGGAAACTTGTCTAACAAAGTCTGATTTCCCCAGAGGGCAGATTGTCAAGTGAGATGTCAGGTTCCAACTGGCTTTTTTGTGGCTCTCAGCTGAAGGCTCAGCTGCAAGTTCCGTCCTAATGGTCCAGTTAGGCACAGGGAGGCTACCCAGAGAAAGGGGATGCAGAAGTAGAGAGAAAGGAGTGATCAGTTCACCCACCGAACTTCAAAGAAGGTCTCTACCAGGGAGGAGAAGGGTCACTGGGGACTGATACTCCATTACCATTTTTTTCCCCTGTCGGTCATAGGGCTTGAACTCAGGGCCTGGGCGCCGTCCCTGAGCATTTTTGCTCAAGGCTTGCACTTTTTTTTTTTTTTTTTTTTTTTTGGGTCCGGTTGTGGGGCCTGAACTCTGGGCCTGGGCGCTGTCCCTCAGCTCTTCAGCTCAAGGCTAGCATTCTACCACATGAGCCACAGCGCCACTTCAGGCTTTTTTCTTATGTGGTGCTGAGGATTCGAACCCAGGGCCTCAGGCATGCAAGGCAAGCGCTCTACCACTGAGCCATCTTCCCAGCCCCAAGGCTTGCACTTTATCTCTTGAGCTACAGCTCCACTTCTAGTTTTCTGGTGCTTAATTGGAGATAAGAGTCTCAGGGACTTTTCTGCCCGGGCTGGCTTTGAACCTGGATCCTCAGATCTCAGCTTCCTGAGTAGCTAGGATTATAGGCATGAGCCACGGGCGCCTGGCACTCAATATGTCTTGGAAATTGTGTATTAAGGTACGAAAATGAAAATAATGGATCTTGAAATAAATTCTTGTAGTAGAAGGCACTACATAGGATTTTCTGAATGCATCGTGGGAAAAATTCCCAACAGAACTCCCAAAGCTCACTTTACAAACTGAACAGATTTGCCTTTGGTTGAAAAGTCTTTATGACGCCTCACCTATAGATAGCGTTGGAGCAGAGCTGGATTTTAAGCTTCTATGGAGCCTAGAATTTGTCAAAGAGCATTCCAAGTGCCTCCCAAGTACCTGACTTGTTAAATACTTAAGTAAGACACACTATGCTCAAGTGCTTTATACAGCAGCTTTTAGCCCACTAAGAACCATCAGTGCATGGATTTGTGCTGCTGACTCAACCTGCTTTTCTGGGACCCCCAGAAGGACACTTCTTCTGCACTCTGTGTACAAGTATCTGAACTCCTTGTAACTGTCCCAGTGAAGAGGAAGGAGGAGAATTAGTTATGTCCTGGCCAGCAAGGGCGGTGCTCACGGCCCCACTGTGTGGGCCCATGGAGGAGGGCTGGCCTCACAGCAAGCTGCAGGTCCCCTTCCGGTGGGCAGCGCAGCGCCTTTCCAACCACAGCTCCTCACCACTCCACCGCACCGCTGGGTTTTCTGCTTATGTGTATTTGGTAGCTTCTTATCTGGGATTGGTTTTCTATAGAGAATATGAACTGCTACTAGGCTTGTCAGTGATAGAAAAAAATGCTACTGTTCTATTTTTGAGCTTTCGGTCTCGATACTGTGCAGGTGTTCTGAGATTTCCAGGTGAGCTGCTGAACAAGGCATTTGCAGCAAGTACCTGCACTCACCAGTCAGTCTCTCACGGCGTTGGGAATGCTTGCAGCTCCTGGATGGAATCTGTGCTTTCAAGTTGTTGCTGTGTATGTGTGCACACGTGTGTGCATGTTTTAAAACATTTTAGAGTAATTCTTTTGCATTTAAAACTTGAACTTGCAATCTGGCACAAAGGGCTGTCTGCTGCTAAAAGCATGTTTGAAATCACTGACTTACATAAAATTCAGGTTGTACACGTTTATGAAAATCCAATTGTCTTAACCTCTTTTTCTTTTGTCTGTCGTGGGGCTTGAACCCTGGGCCTGGGCTCTGTCCCTGAGCTCTTCAGCTCAAGGTGGAGTGCTCTACCACTTGAGCCACAGCACCACTTCCTCTCCCCACTCAACTCATTTTGAGGTTCTGGGTATGGCAGTCAGGTCCTTGCCCATGGCTAGGCAAGTACTAAACCAGTGAACTGCATATGCAGGCCCTCCTCTGCCTATCTTTAGTGGTGTTATTCTCTGGCCTGTGGGCCACAGCTGGAGTAATGTACCTATCAGAGAAATGTCTTAGCACAAATGGAGACTGCAGCTGCAGGAAGCTGAGTGCTTCCCACAAACCACAACACAGATGGCCAAGAACCTGGGTGGGGGGCAGAGCTCCCTCCAGAGCCTGAGTGAAGGGAAAACTCTCCTCTGTGACTACAAATGCAGAGGGACACAGCTGTGGAGTACTTCTGATGGGTGTTGTGGGATAAAGCCATCACTTTCCGTGACAGTTCAAGTATCTGCAGAAAGGGTGCGATGGGTCCAGACTCTTCCTGGGGTCTTCTGCAGAAGAGAAAAACCAAGGAGGGCAGAGCCCTGTGGTCCACTCTCACTGGGAGCTGTCTCTCGTGCCAGGGCTCAAGCTGAACTGAAGTGGCTGCTTGGAGCATGCAAGGCAGGGAAAGGAGCCTGCTTGCTGAAGATGTCACAGGCGCGTCGGGACGCCTGGGACCCTTCGAGGCGGGCTGGCTCTCCACACTCAGGGTAGGAGCCAGTGCCTGACTCACAGCCGCACTCTCTGGCCTTCTTGGCATGGGGGGCTCTATTTAGCTGGCTGAAATGTTTACATTTCCTTTGACGGCCCAGCATCAGGTGAGGCTCAAAACCAAGAACTTCTACACCCTTACCTTCCTCCCCCGGCCCATTTCTTCACCTGAAGGTCATCCTGCGCTGGTCAGCTGTGATTTCTGGGCTGCTTTTATACCTGGCCATTGCTCCTTACCACACAAACTAGCACTGCAGCACCAGAGAATCCGTCTCAACACCAAGCCCACACCATGAAGTCAGCAAGGCCACATAACAGTGGCTACCCCGGCCTGGGCGGCCTCTTACCAGGTTTTCTCCAGTCCTACATACAGCCTGCCTGCTAGGAGGTATGCCATGCTGGAAGGAAGTGGTGAGAGGTCTTCCTTCTCCCTAGCCTCAAGACAGCAACAGGCTGCGTTTTCTGCAGAGAGACAGGGGTTCCCCATGCAGAGACTCGATAACACAGAATTCTCAAGAAAGCAGAGGTCAGTCACTTCATGCCTGATCTGGGTTGGCCCAGTGGCTGAAGGTCCTGAACCAACAGGGCTTCTTGGGCCGGGCCCAGTGATGGCTCAGGGCATCCTTGCTTTCTCTGCCGAGCCTGGGAGTCCCGTGATCCTCACAGCCACTTCTCACTGTCTATGCCACACTGGCTGACCAAAGTCTTCTCCCAGCCTCTCCCACCCTCCCCCTTAGTCCAGCTTTTAATGGCCACAGAGCCTGGGTTCGCTTGGAATGCGATGTGAGTGCTGAGGGCCACAGCCCCATCTGAAGGAGATGGTATGGGCTTTGTAGGTGTGTAACTGGGGCAGAGAGAACCAGAGAACTATGGGCAGGAGGGGCACTTGGGGGAGCGGGCTGGAAGCCCACCCAGTGCAGTTCTGTGATGGTTCCTTGTGGTACAATCTCCCTCATTCCCAGCTATTTTCTCCTAAAGAAAAGGACGGAGAGAAGGAGGAGGAAGAGGAGGAAAAAGCCCAGAGCTTGCCACCAACAGATGACAGGGCCTGAGATTTTGTTCTACAAGGAAATGGCAAGCTAAGAAATGGACTGGGGTGCACGCCTGGGCCTCAGGGCTGCCCCAACACAGCTGCTTTTCTTTTAGCTAACAGGAAGCACCAGATGTCAGTGACACAGGGACCCGGAAAACTCTGCCGGTACAGGAGCTGATTTGCAAAAGACGTGATGCAAAACTGGGCTACTCCAGTGGGGAGGATGGGCTCTGCTCCAGAACATGCCGCCTTACCAAGGCAGCCTGACCATACCTGCTTCACCTCGCAGCGCCTTCTCCACCGCTACCCCCCTCTCCTCCAGCTGCCTCTGCTTCTCCTCCACCTGCTCCAGCTGCCGTTGGATGATCTAACAAAAAACATCAGTGTAAGCTTACAGCTCTCTTACCTACAGTCTTCAGAAGGGAAGTTATGCTGTATGAAGCCAGGAAGGGATAAAGACAACACAGTTGGAAGGGACTCTGGTCCACGGGCATGCTCAGAGTGAGGCGCCTACACCTGGTAACTCCCCACTCCTCTGCTGAGTAGACTCCAGGCAACACGCCGGCAGAAGCAGGGCCGGCCCCCTCCCTGCAGCAGTTCCCTGGTGGGAGTTGTATGTCAACCACCACAGGAAGCATTCAAATACGGAACCCACAAACTTTTCCTGATGATGAGACTGGTAACATACTGGAGGGGTCCTTAGGAATTCTGTCTCTGCAAGTTTTAGATGGGGGGAACCTATAATGGTCTAGGATGCAAGGTTTGAAAACAGGCTGATGACTGGGGCAGTCCTAAGCTCTCCTCTCCATTAGAAACTAGAAGACACAAATAATCTCTGCACACTGTTTACAAGTGAAACAGTTGGCGACCTGACTATTCTAGACTAAGAAGCTCCAAGTGTGACTGTTCCTTTTCACAACAGCCCCACCATGTATGGGGTCTGGCTGTTGTATGCTCGGGTCTTGGCTGCTGCGTGCAGCTGTCACAGCTCAGGAGACAGGGACATGCTATTTGCCTCCACTTGGACCTCTCTGCCCTCCTGTACTCTGGACAAGGACATGCTGGAGCAGCCTGTGTCCCATGGCACGGCTTTACCGGGCCAGGCCTGTGGCTTGTATGGGTTGGCCGGCTACTCAGTGGGTCAGGCCCACAGCTTGTATCATACCTGGGCCCGATGGAGCCGCTTCAGCTCCTCCTGCTTGGCCTGCCTCCGAGCTGCTTTCTGCACACGCCGGGTCAGCTTGGCATTCAGTTCCTCCTCTGTGTAGGTTCTTGGCTGGACAGAAAAGAGAGATCGCCTCAGCCAGGTGCATGTAGGCTGGAGATGGTGGCTGGGACCTGGCAGACAGCAGGGCACAGGGTGTGCAGAATTTAACCAGAGACTTCATGGGCACTTGTGCCTGCTGGAACCCTAATGCCATAGGCACAGCTGAAGACCCACAAAGAGAGACACTTTCCCTCTGTGACAATGACGGGAGGTCCTGGGGTCTTAGAACCTTTATCCTTGGCATCATCTGCTTCTCACAGGATGACTGTTTTTAAGGCCTCATGGGGGTAAATGCCATGGTAAAAGGTTTTCCCTAGCCTCCCGCATCTCAGAATTGAAGGAAAGGAAAAAAGGTTTGAAAAGTCAAAACCCTTTCATTTTCTTTGGTATCGAAATCCAGATGAGCGGTATTCTGGTTAGGTTCTTTTAAGAACTAACACCGAAGTCAGAGAAAACAGGTTACTTCTATTTTGAATCTAGGTGAACCCTAAACTAGCTAGCACAGGTGGGAGAAGGGCCTGCAGAGGTGATCCTCAGGGACCTCTGGGGTCTAAGGAGACAAGTGTCGTCACAGAGAGGAAGTGGCCTGGCCGGGGCAGTGCCATCAAGATCGGAGGAGGCGACTGGGCATGTCCTGTGGAAGAGCTGCGTGTTGGTTGGGGAGCCATGGTTGCCTTCATTCAGGGCACCAAACGAGGGTACTTTCATACTTTTAAAAGAGACTTCCAAGTTCAACTTGGGAGTCTGGATTCATCAGCTTTCTTCGAGGAACGTGAATGGCGGTTGGAGGGTCAAGAGAACAGGCAACAGGCAGTCGTAAGTAGCTGTGGGGCTCCAGGGGCCCAGCGGCTCACCTTGCAGACCACACAGCTGTGGGCTGGTGACCACCTCTCGCTGGGCTTCCCGGGCCACAGCGGAGCTCTGCCCCACCCGCACCTGGGGAAAAGCCAGTGAAGACCGGTGTCTCATCCTCCTTCTCCCTCGTGACACGGCTAAAGAGTCTCGCGGCTACGGCTGCATGCAGGGATGAAGTTAGTGAGGGTGTGCCTGCAGGCCAGCGGGGCTGCTGAGGGTTAATCACAGACAGGCATGCAATGAGACCAGCCGGGGGATGGGATGCTACCTTTGATGAGTAGGATCTCCTGAATGCCAAGGCGTGTGGTATATAAATCAACTTTTAGGGGGATGGCAACAGAAAACAAAACAGAATAGGAATGATAATGATGATTAAAAAAATTAAAATAGAACACAGAAATGGAGTAAAATCAAGTTAGATGTTTAAAATGCACACGAGACTTAAACACACTGTTGTTGCCACAATGTTACACGGGGCTGCGTGGAGAGGGCACGGCAGGGTATGGGCTCCACCTGCCAGCTGCGTCTGAGTGACCCCCAGTTCTCAATAAGACTGAGGTTTACTTCTCTACTTGCTGAGTATAAACAAGTTCTTCCTCAGCATCCCTCAAATCTTGTCAGTCTTCCTGACAAAGTATTAACATCTATGACTGGTACCCACGACTTATTCATAGGGCCGGGCGGGGGTGTGGTGGGTGTGTTCCTCTGTAACGCATGCCTGCAAGGAGCCGCCGTTCAGTGGGAGGCAATGGTGGTCTTGGTAGTGGGCTTCACTCATTCATGGGATAGCTATGAACCTTAATTCTCAGATCTCAGCTCCTTGAGTAGCTAGGCTCACAGGCTCATTGAGCCCCCAGCCCCCAGCCAGATTGACCTTTTTGACCAACGTGGCACTACCTGAACCTCTTCAGGCTCACCATGAAGATAAAGGGAACTTTGGACCACATTCTCTTTTCTTCACAGACTTCCACCCTTCACCAAACTCCCAAGACAGCAACGCTGTCCCAAGACCTGCAACACTGGGATATGTTTATAGACCTACATGCAAATCCAGAAGCAATCTTTGGCTCAGGACCAGCTACTGCTAGGGAAACCTCAGTAGGAGGTTTGTTCAACAGGAGGTATGTTAAAATGAGTCCCGGAGGTAGAACACACAGCCTCGGAGACCTCCACTACCCTCAGTGCATACTCGGGAGGCCTGGCTCTGTAGCTAAGTAGAACAAGAGGTAAGGCTTGTCATTCTAGGTGTCCAGGGGAAAAGGCTGGCATGTCAGGGAGGTAAATGTATAGAGGACAAGATAAATAAGTGAACCACCCTTTTCTACTTTGCAGAGTTAATGAAAGGGGAACTGAACTGAGCTGATGGCTGCTGTCTATAATCGAATCCCAGCTACTTGGGAGACAAAGATCAGAAGATCTTAGCCCAGGTTGGCCTGAGTAAAAACCTGAGACCCTATTAGAAAAATAACTAGAATAAATAGGGTTGAAGGAGTAGCTCAAATGGTGAAATGCTTGCCTAGCAGTAGACGCTGAATTCAAACCCCAGTGTTGTACCTCTGTCCACCACCAAATGAAAAAGATAAAAATAAAAAAGAAGAGTAGAAAAAAGAAAAAAAGGGTCAGGCTGGGAGGCAGGACCTAAAAGCAGGCTATGGAAGTCATATCTGCAGACAGCCCAGCCCTGACCAACAATTCAAAGCTGCCTCTTGATGGAAAATACTCAAGTCCATGCTCCAACAGCTCTTCTGGGAAATATACAGAATGCTGGGGGAAGCCTTTTAGTAAAGAAAGTAGGAGGGGCTGGGAAGGTGGCTCAGTGGTAGAGCGCTTGCCTTGCATGCATGAGGCCCTGGGTTCGATTCCTCAGCACCACATAAGCAGGAAAAAAAAAAAAAAAAGCTGGAAGTGGCACTGTGGCTCAAGTGGTAGAGTGCTGGCCTTGAGCTGAAGAGCTGAGGGACAGCGCCCAGGCTCAGCGTTCAGGCCCCACAACCAGAACCCCCCCAAAAAAAGAAAGTAGGAAAGCTTTTTGTCAAATGTTGTGTGCTTCTGCTCACATAAGGAAGGTTAAGTCTAAAACAGGACTGCCAATAATAATTGGACAGGAGTCCAAAAGGAGGCTGGGGGGAGGGGAAAGGAGATGCTTGAAGCATATTACCTGTATAGTTTTTTCTTTCCTTTTCTTTTTTTTTTTTTTTTTTGGTCGGTCCTGGGGCTTGAACCCTGAGTCTGGGCGCTGTCCCTCAGCTCTTCAGCTCAAAGATAGGACTCTACCACTTGAGCCACAGTGCCACTTTCGGTTTTCTGGTGGTTTATTGGAGATAAGAATCTCATGGCCTTTCCTGCCTGGGCTGGCTTTGAATCATGATCCTCAGATCTCAGCCTCCCGAGTAGCTAGGATTACAGATTACAGACATGAGCCACTGGCACCCGGCTTTACCTATATAGTGGTTTTTTTTGTTGGTCGTGAAGCTTGAACTCTGGGCTTGGGGGCTATCCCTGTGCTCTTCAGCTCAAGGCAAGTGCTCTACCGCTTGAGCCACAGCTCCACTTCCAGTTTTCTAGTGGTTTATTGGAAATAAGAGTCTCATGGACTTTTCTGCCTGGGCTGGCTTTGAACCGTGATCCTCAGATCTCAGCCTCTCGAGTAGCTAGGATTATAGGTGTGAGCCACCAGCACACGGCACCTATACAGTTTTGAACAAAATGAAAGTCACTAAGTACTATCTGAAATAGTACGGAGAAGAAAGAGGCTAAGTTTAAGGAAATGAGTAAATTTGTTCAAAGTACAGCTCATGATCAAACTCCTTTATACTATTAATAATTCCTATAAACAAAACGAAGCAACGAAACTGGAGCATACATAGCTCAAGTGGTAGAGTTTAAACTAAGTAGTAGGTTTGATCTTGGGTTCAAATGCCAGAACCAAAAACAAAACAAAACCAAACAAACAAACAAACAAAAAACCCAAAAGGTAGGTGGTCAGCCAGGCTGTTGCCGCACGGGAACAGGGTGATGGCCTGGGCTAGTGGGGGCTGGGGACGGCCCTGACTCTGCTCAGGCCTTTCTGGACTTTAGTTCCTGTCCAATTGCCATCATTGGGACAGATATCACACTACAACTAGACCTCTCTCTAATCCTTTCCCTCCTCCAGCTTCACTGTCCAAACCTTGAAAACCAAAAGATTGAACAAGCCCTCCAGGACAGCCACCAATGAAGGGTCTTTTAAGGGCCTCAGCAGGACTGAGGGGCAGCTCTCCCAAGCCCCAGAGGAGCGAGAGGCCTCTGGGAGCAGGGAAGTCCTCTCTGCTTGACAGACATACCAAGCAGGCAGGATGGCCAGGCCCATCCACAGCCCTTTCCCACCGGCCTCCACTCCCTTCTCCTGCTGCCGGGCCAGGCAGTGCTGCTCCACGTGGGAGGAAATAAAACCTTCCACCTGGATCTGACCTCTCCACAGGAACGTGTTCAGAGGGCCTGAGGAAAGACCCCTCCTGGGCTCTTCCTCCACCCAGGACTGGCTTAGCATTCCACTGTTTGAGGGGGAAGAAGGGGAGAACCTACCCCACACCACTCTCCACCTTAACTTCAGATCTCTGCCCCCTCTCCCCCAAGCCCCATGGGACTGGATCCCCACCTCTCGCTTGGATTTCTGGGAGGCCCTCTCGAGGATATCATCACTGGACAGGTCCGAGTCTTCAGAGAAACTCAGCTGGCGCCGGAGCTGCAGCTCTGCAGGGGTAAGAAGAGGCCAAGTGAGCAGCGTCCACAGCCATGGGGACAGCCGGGGAGGTCAGGAGAGCTTTACTCTCAGTTTAAGTGATTCTCATCCATAGGAGGTGCAGTCAACACTAGATAGACACCTCCTTGCAGGACCTCCCAGCAAGACGCCCTCTGCCCTTCCCCTCAGCCAGGTTCAAGCAGGCTTTAGATCTATCTTGTCAGAGAGGAGTGATGTACTCCAGACACCACAGCGTGGCTCTCTTCTCTCCCAAGAACCCTTGGGGGGGCAGCAGGTGGAAGCAGATCTCTTGAGGGAAGACCTCACGCCTACCCTGCCAGGGTCTGTGGGAGGCTGGCATACCTGCTCTCACAACAGGAGACAGCCCATGTCTGCCCGAGTCTGCGGTGGCACCGCTGGACGGGGTGCTGGAGCAGGACTTCTCATCGCCCCTCTTCTTCTTGTCCTTCTTGTACCCAGAGAAGACCGACTTCCACAGGGACTTGGGCTTTGTGGCTGCTTCTTCCAGGAAACTGGGGCTGGGTTTCTCTGGGGGCCGTCCCTCCCCTTTGGACTTCTTCTCTTTCTTATTTCTGCGCGGGGAGAAGAGGGATGACCTCTTCTTGCTCTTCCCGCTGGAACCCTCAGATGAGGTGACAGAGCCATCTGGACCCCCTGAGTCTGACGGAGGGGAGAGAACCTCCTCACTGGTAGCTTCGTGCTTCAGGGTCGACTGCTCAGACGCTCTGAGGCCCAGGTGAGTGGGGGACTCAGACCTGGGTTCCTTGCCCTTGGAGGATGCCAAGGGTGCCATCCGGGATCTGGAGGCCATACCCGCCATCTCCATCCCCTGCATCCTGCTCAGCTGCTTGACCATGGCATCTCTCAGCACCTGGCTCTTCACGGACTTCTCCCGGGCTCGCATGCGCTCCTCAGCCAGCTCCTTGGCTTCGGCAGAGACCTGGGGCAGCCCCCTCTTCTGGGCCTGGCCCCGGCTCTCCACAGGAGGCAGCTGCCCGTTCTCTTTGGCCAGGGGCCAGCAAGAGGGGGGTGTGAAGAACTTCTCCTGCCCACTTGAGTCCTCTGTCTTGTCGTCATAAGTGTCCTCCACGTCGTCAGCAAAGGGGATCTCATCCACACTCTCCACAAATGACTTGCGCACCTCCTCCCTGGGAGGCTGGGCCGGCTCCCGTGGGGGCCGCATAAATGGGGCGGGTGGGGGAGGTGGGATGACCGAGGCCTTGGGCTGGACCTCTCTACACTCCAGGGTCTGGTAGGGCTTCCTTCGCAAAGTTGCAGGCTCCTCATCGGGAGGTGGGGGCGGAGGTGGGCTGGAAGGCGGGGTGAGCATGGTGGAATCTGAGGTGTTGAAGCTCTGGCTGCCCAAGGTTTTCATGTTGGAAGAGCTGCCATGGAGGCCCAGGCCGGAGCTGCTGGACAGGTCTTTGCGCTCCTCCTGGGAGCTCCTCAGCTCCCGGTCAGGGGACTTGGGAGTCAGCAGGGATGGCTGATCACTTGCTAACTTTGGAAGGCCCAGCCTTTTAGGTACAGGTGGGGGTTTCAGAAGATGGAGCCCCTCGTCCTGAGGAGACTTTTCCACAGAGTAGGACTTTAGGGACACTGGCTTCAGGGCTGGTGAGGGGAAGCTGGGCTCGGGCCCTTTGTTCCGATCCACGGGTGTAAGCCCAAGGCTGCGGCGGATCTCTGCACTCTTCATCCAGAACTCCTCCACCAGATCACTCCTTCGTACGGGCTCATCCGCCGCAAGAGGGCTGCCCAGTCTGTCCTTGGGGTCACCTTGGCTCTTTACAGGGAGAGGGGCTCGGGGGGTGGATGTTTTGGTAGGAACAGGCTGGAAGCGTATGGGGGACTGGGTGGGGGAGGGCACGGTGGTCTCTGAGGAAAGCTGGGGCTGAGAGCAGATGGGGAAAGGGGGTGCACAGGGAGCCAGTGGTGCCGCCAGAGCCGCTGAAGGCTGGGAGTCGGCTGGTGACCTGGCTTCTGGCAGAGCCATGGGCTGTGATCGGATGGGAGAGCGTGCTGCCTTCGGATCTGCAGAGGCTCCGGCTTTGGGCTTCTCTCTGGAGAGTAGAGATGGAGGGAAAAGGTGCTCCTCGGGGAGTCTCACCTTGGTGGCAGCAGAGACCGAAGAGATCTGGGTTCCCTACAGAGAAGAAAGACAGAAGCTGCTAAGAAGCCAGAGCTTCCCTAGCCAGCAGCAGCCCCCAGGGAGTACGGCCGCTCACAGGGCCGGTGTGGTGTGGAGATAGATTCCTCTCTCTGTCCTTTGAGCTATTATTTGAAGGGCTTCTCATTTTCTGGTCTACTTGTTCCCTCTTTAGAATCCTTCCCCTTGGTTTGAATAGACAGGGTTTGGGTCATCTCAAACACATCTAATGAGCTTGTCCACTGACTCGAGTCCTGGCCAACGCAGCTAATACACTCAGCATCCAGCCTTGTTCAACCAGATATTGGTGGTCCCTACTGGCCCACCGTGGGGCCAGCAGTGAGGACATTTAAAATGATCACTCAGCACAGTATGCAGACCACAGTGTCCTTCCCAAGAAGCTCAGAGGCGCAAGGCTCTGGTGTCACGGTGACCTCTCCGGTCAGTCACTGCACCGTCTGTGCTGGCTGGTATTCAGAGGCCCAGGCCTGTTGTCTGTCCACACCACGCTCCCCCTTGGCCTTCTAGATCCTATTTCCCAAACCACATTTCAGAAACTGTTGGGACACTGATAAGCTGTTTTTATGGAATACCACAGGCAATCTGGGAGCCTGCATGTATGTGTGGAGGGTGCAGTACTTTTTTCTTTTCTCTTCTCTTCTCTTCTGGTACTAGGGTTGGAACTCAGAGCCCACACACTTGCTCAGCTCAAGCCACTTGATCCACACCCTCAGCCTGGCTTTTTGCTGGTTATTTTGGGGACAGTCTGACTTTTTTTTTTAACCTGGGCTGGCTTTGAACTGTCAATCTCTAGTGTGAAACACTGGAGCCTGGCCTTGGCAACATATGCTTATGTTAAATAGTCATGCATTTATTTTAACACAAGATGTGTCTATCAGAATAAATCCATGATCCTATAATTTATTATTATTATTATTATTACTATTATTTTGTTGGTCATGGGGCTTGAACTCTGGGCCTGGGCACTGCTGTCTCTGAGCTTGTCAGCTCAAGGCGAGCATTCTACCATTTGAGCCACAGTGCCACTTTCAGGTTTCTGGTGGTTACTTGACTTTGAACCGTGATCCTCAGATCTAGCCTCCTGAGTAGCTAGGATTACAGGCATGAGCCACCAGCATGCCCAGCTGCTTTCATTAGAACTTACCTTTTCTATTCATACCAAGGACCTGAATTAGAACCCCAAGGCCACTCCTATTGTCAACAGCTCTACTTGGCACAAAGTGAAATTTTTTTTTCTTCAGATGAGGAAGCTGGTAGGCTGCTTCCCCTAAGACAGGCCTTCCCCCTTGCTTCCCCTTGGGGCCATCAGTTCCTGGTCACGCACAGCGACCCCGCAGCCTCACCTCGACCACGGGGCTGTGGGCTGGGGTGAGCAGAGCAGCCTGTTCCTGAGGAGCGTGGATGGGGCTGGAGACCTGGGAAGGACCTGAAAGGAAAGGTCACAGTCATGTCAGGAGGAAATCGGCCCTCAGAGATGCACTCATGTCCAAGTGGGGACCCCTTCCCCCTCCTTCCCGGGCGCTGCAGGCGGACAGGGCTCAGAGAGCCAACTGCTCCGTGCCCTGGCCGTTCTGATGGCATCACCAAGCACCCCCCCCCCCGTCCCCTCCTGTGCCAGCAGGCCATCGGAACTCCAAGCTGAGCGGACACGACCCTCTCACGACCCCAAACAGTACAAGGCAAGGTGCTGCAGGCCAGGCATTTGCAGAGTTCTGTGGCGTGGGGCAGGAGGGGGGAGCAGGGAGTGGAGGAAGGGAGGGGCTGGGCCCTGGCCTGCCCCACCTGCCTGGCTCTGTGGTCCCCACAGCACTGGGGACACTGTGTCTCCCGCCAGTGGCAGCAGACCCACCTCTCTCTTGTTGCTTTGGTAAGGCAGGAAGCTCCTCATCCTCCTCGTTCTCTGATACTCTCAGCTCCAGCTCCCCTTCTGCCTCTGTCGGGGGTAGCACCCGAAGCCCTGCTTCAGCGTCAGATGGGATGTCATCAGACCAGTGCTGATCTGGAGACAACGGGCACAGATTAGCACTCGTCTCTGAGCAGCGCTGTGCCACTCAGAAGGCTGAGATTTATGACAAGAGGCAAACTACCAGCCAGGTACCAGTGGCTCACACCTCTCATCACAGCTACTCAGGAGGCTAAGATCTGAAAGGAATGCCTGTCAGACCCTAATCTCCAATTAACCACCAGAAAGCTGATGGTGGAGCTGTGACTCAAGTGGTAAAGTGCTAGCCTTGAGCAAAAATGCTCAGGGACAGCACCCAGGCCCTGAGTTCAAGCTCCAATGGCAAACTACCCCTAATGCCGTCTCCTATGAGCTTGATGAAAACAGCCAAAAGCAACAGGAAACTGGCCAGCTCTCCAGAGGCCAGTACGGAGGGAACAGCCAACCAGAACACACCTGTGACTTGAGGCTCATTGAACGTGCAAACCCTTCTCACCCTGTGCACCTGATTCTCCCTATTTAACCTGAGGCCAACGTCAGCACCCGTGAAGATGGCTGAAGATGCATGAAGTGCTGTCTTCCATCTTTCTCTGCCCTTCACATGTCTCTTGATTTGGCACATGGGGCGGAGCAGATGGACCTAACATGGGGATTGGTCCTGGGGTCTAAAAACCCAGTTTCACCATGACAGGAAGAAAAGCTTTGGGTGTGCACAGGGATGGTAGGCCTTGCTTCCTGAACTCCACTTCCTTCCCCTTTTGCCAAACTGTCTACAGCCTAACACCATGGCCAGGTCTGTAACTCCCTCAGTCTAGTCCCTGCCCTCAACCAATGAGACTGCAGTTCTTTTTTGGTTGGTTGTGGAGCCTGAGCCTGGGCCTGGGAGCTGTCCCTCAGCTCTAGAGTTCAAGGTGAGCGCTCTACCACTTGAGCCACAGTGCCACTTCCGGCCTTTTCTGCTTATGTGGTGAGGAATTGAACCCAGGGCCTCATGCATGTGAGGCAAGCACTCTACCACTGAGCCACCTTCCCAGCCTGAGACAGCAGTTCTTAAAATTCTTCAAATGCCCTCTAGCCCTCAGCTGCCAAGTTCCAGCTCAGAACCACAATGATGTACAACCTCTGTGAATGTAGGCTACGCTTTTGACAGGGAAGACGAGACTTCCAAGTCGAGAAGCCCTATGGGTTGCCTCCTTGAGCTTTCACTGTAGATTGTTTGGGTATTTCTGGTCTTGGCCTGCAGGGAGGAATAGGAGTGGAGGCCGAGGCTCCGTACCGTCATCTAGCTCAGCACCAGTGTCTCCGGGGTCCCCATCCTCCACAGCCTCCCCTTCTGTCTCTGCTGGCTCGGAGTCTGCGTCCTCCTCCAGGTCATTCTCGTCCAGTGGGGCTGTAAAGCAGAGATGTTCAAGAACAGGAAGAAACGAACGGACAGATGGATAGACGGCCTGCACAGGGGGAGAGAACTGCTTTTTGCAGGGCAGCCATGAGATGGCCATAGGAAAGAGGGAGGAGCCCCTCCCACAGAGGGTGGGGGCACTCCAAGCAGCACAAGAAGGGTCCAGGCCACTGCTTCATTTGAGTAGGGCAGAGTGAAGAGCGGAGAGCCCTTCCTCCTCCTCCTTCCAGGCCCCGTCCTTTCCTCCCCTGCAGGCTGCCTCAAGTCTGTGCCCATCAGAGGGGAAGCTGCTGTGGGACTGTTGGAAGTTTAGAATGATAGCTTCTATCGCCAGTGCCTGTGAGCCAGACACTACGCTCAGCATTTCATAAGCCTGGAGCACTTATTTCTCATCATACGCAGTTGGATGGACCACTCTTACTGTGTACTTTGGAGTAAGGAAGTCGATGCCTGACAGTTCAGGTGACTTGCACAGGACGCTGCTGCTCAATCTAGTCACTGTGGCACATGCAGGGGCGCGGGAAAGCTTGGGGGAGCTCCTGAGGGCCCCACCCTTCCCTGGAAGAGGCTGCTGCTATTCTTGGAGTTGAGAAAGCAGGTGGACAGGTGAGGGGATCTGTAAAGTTCCCTTTCCAGACTGGAGTAGCCCTTCAAGGCTGCAAAACTGCCCCGAACCATGGGCACTGCCTCACTACAGCCTCTGCCTCATATGTGAACAGGCTGGACAGGGCCACTCCAGATCGCAAGAACTTCCCTTTGGTGACCAGGAAGTGACACCTTAAAGGTGCTGGCATGTTTTATTGACTGAGATGATGTTTGTGTTCACTCTTCTACATTTCCTTGAAGTATATTTATATTTAATGCACAATGTGTAAGATGATGGTTCAAATCTATGAAGAACTCGTGAAATTAAACTGAACAGTGGGGAACAGATTTAGAATAGAATACAGTCCTGGTTGAGGTGTTCCAAGGTAAGTTCTATGTTGGCAGTTAATGCCACCTGCCACTGAAATACCAGGGCAGCCAAGGGAGCTGTCAATGACAAACTGCTCTCCTATAATGATGGCATTTCTACACATTAACCCCCCCCACCTGCTTTTTGTTCTTTTGATCATGGGGCTTGAACTCTGGGCCTGGGAGCTATCCCTGAGCTCTTCAGCTCCAGCTCTTCAGCTCAAGGCTAGCACTCTACCACCTGAGCCACAGGGCCACTTCGGCTTTTCTGTGTTTTGTCGTGCTGAGGAATTGAACCCAAGATCTTATGCATGCGAGGTGAGCACTCTACCACTGAGCCACCTTCCCAGCCCCACGATTAAAACCTTTTGAGCAATCGTACTGAGGTTGGCCACTCACGGAGGACAGTTAATTGAAGAGCAAAGAACAGGACCTTGGAGGCACAAACACCCCACCAAAAAACAGCAATTGGTCTGGGTCCAGACTTGAGCTGTAGGCCAAGGCCACGAGCTCATCGCCACGAGCTCATCGTCAGAACAAAACGTCCAGTGGGAACAGAACCCTGGCTCATCAGGCATTCTCTGGTGCTGATGTGCCTGAATGATCAACCAGCAAGTGCCTGGCACCCAGGTGGCAATTTTATGCTCTGCCTGGTAAGTAAGCTGGAAGAGAGCACACAGAAGGTCAGTCCCTGGAGACCTGGCTGCCCCTGCCTGCTGGGTTCTTCACGCGGGTCTCCCACTTGGAGCTCCTACTAAGAAACACTGGCCGTGGAGTCAAAAGGGAGGGGGTTCTAACTCCTTGGGGCACCTTGGAAGGAATGGTCACATAGGAAACAACAAACATGAGTGCTATCACTGAAGCAGCGGCAGCAGCCGGTACTGAAAGAGACGCAGCCTGAGCGATGGAACGGGGTTGGGGGGGGTGGGGGGGGGTGGAGTCCAAGTGGAGAAGGAGCACAAGGTGCTGGAAGCGGCCACACAGGTGAGGAGCACGCTGCAAAGCCAGTATTTGTGTTTATTTCAGCTGCCAGCTGAGGGACCTTCCTTCTTAGCCTTGTCCCCGGCTCTGTGCTCTGTCCCCCACGCTGATGGCTCAGGGGGGCTGCACTGGATGCCAGTGAACTCCCATGACGCGTGTGTCTCCTGCCTGCGGCTAGCAGCTTGGTAAGAAGCCTGTGGCAGAGATCAGCTGATGCCAGTCCATTCCAGAGGGACTGTCCAGGTGGTGCTTGGAGCACATGTGCAGGATCCTCGGTTGGTGTGATGCTGGGGTAGAGATGGAGACTGCACAGCGCTCAGAGCACCAACTGCCCTTCCTGAAGAAATGCCATTTCCCAAAGAACTCAGGGAGGACCAGCAAGGGCTCTAAGTACTTAAAGACACGGTGGCTATGTGGGGCCAGCAATGGAGCCACACGGTGGTTCTCAGTCTGCCCTCTGCCCCCCCACCCCTGGCAAATTTCTCTACACCTTTCCTGAACTTGAACTCAGGGCCTCGTGCTCTTGCATGCCTGTTCTACTCATGGCTACTCTACCGCTTGAGCCATCCCTCCAGTCAATCTTTTTTTTTTTTTGCTTTTTGCAGATTAATTAGAGATACAATCTCTCGGGCTGTTCTGCCCACGTTGGCTTCGAACTATAATCCTCGGACCTCAGCCCCTCCCCGAGTCGCTAGGATTACGATAGAGCTGAGCCCCTAGCACCTCAGCTCCTTCCCGAGTTGCGACTTGCTCCTTTCTCTAGCACTTGACTTGGGCAAGCTTCTAGAACACTATCTATTCCTCTGCCTTCACAGTCAGTTGTTACACACACTTTGAACCTCAGTGCAAAAGGTTCCTTCCGCTCCGGCCTTTCCCCCCACGCCCTATCCATCAGCCAAGGTGCCTCTCTGTCCTAGCTCATGGTGGGTCTGTAGTCGGCCTGGGTGGGAAGTGCTTGGGTCCATGCAAGGGGGCCGGCCTGACCAGCCATGCAAGTGCCCCACCCCGCTGGCTCCGCCCTCACATGCAGCGGCCACAGGACCACCGTCCCGGTGTTAGGGCACCAGCAGAGCTGCCTAGAGAGAGGTTACGGTGAGTGGGGCGGGGGCAAACATCACCAGACTACCTCCGGAGACCGTCTCCAGCCAGGCCTGCACTGCTGCGCGGCGTACGGAAGGAAGGCCAGGCACTGAATTTAAAACAAACGATAAACGCGGAGTTAACACGGCAGTCCGTTCCCAGTGAGGAGGAGCTGAAGTCAATGGGACAGAGCCTGTCTGGTACTGAGGACTGCCGGTGTGCTGCTGGCCTGTGCAGTGGACACTCTGGACAAGGAGAAAAGAGAGAAAGCCAAGGAGGGGTTGGGGGGCCAGAAGGGCCCAAGGGTGCAGACATTCCGATCCGTCCTGATCTTGCAGGCAGCCTGATGCCTGGTGAGCAGGGTCTCCTTCCACAGCTTGTGTACATCTGCTCTCTACAGTGGTGGGAAAGCCATTAACAGAGGTTGGTGTTGTCTACCTGCAAAGATTTGGAGCTGGAGAGGGTGAAAGTCCAATGGGAGAATGAGTCCAGCGTGGGGCTGTGAGTGGGCTCTGAATCAATACACTTGCACGTGACAAGGCCAAGGTCCCCTGTTTAGAAGAGGTGGCTGAGGATCACACGCGGCCACCACTCCTCATTGGGCTCCTTGGTTTACTTCTACCGCTATTCACCATGGTGCACACCTTTAGTCCCATCTGTTCTGGGGGATTAAGCAAGAGGGTTGCCAGTTCAAGAACAGTCTGAGCAGCTTAGTGAGACTTTGTCAAGAAGAAGAAAAGAAGAAGGTCTGGGTGCTGGTGGCTCTCGCCTGTAATCCTAGCTACTCTAGCTGAGTAGACTAGCTGAGATCTGAGGATCATGGTTCCAAGTCAGTGAGGCAGGAAAGTCCATGAGACTCTTATTTCCAGTGAACCACCAGAAAAACCAGAAGTGGCGCTGTGGCTCAAAGTGGTAGAGCGCCAGCCTTGAGCTCAAGAGGTTGGGGACAGTGCCCAGAGTTCAAGTCCCACGACTAACAAAAAAAAGGAAAAAAAAAAAAAAAAGAGGAAAATGAATTATTTGTATTTTACTGGGAAACAGAAATAGACTATCCAATCTAATCTTTGACTCAGAGACTTTAGGGGCCTCCCTGATAGACATCTCATCTTAATTTCATTTCTAAAGATGTGTTCTTCCCAACACAATTACAGGCAGACATCCCCCAGAGAAATACCTTTTCTCTTCAGAGGAGTGTTACTTAACAGGGTGGATTACTGAGTTTTACAGGTCAGGATCACTTTACTGTTTTGTATCCGTGGATTAAAAGCCTGTCTTGGAAGCCACAGAACACTACGTATCCTTGACTGAGCAGCAGGGAAGTGGTCCTGATTTAACATCAGAAAAATGCAAAATTCTGGTGCTTCTTATTCTTTGGTCAAACCACAGCTTTGTTCCTACAAGGAAGGGTTTTCTGTAGCAGGAGTGGTGAAGTGCTTCCGAAGCACGCTGGGACCTGGCCTCGTGGCAGTTACCTCTGGAAGTGGAGGACTCTGAGGTGGGGACCATTCTCTCTTCCTCCTCCTTCCCACGAATGTGTGTCCAATGCACATCGGCCTGGATTGCCAAGGGGTCCGCTGGATTTATGATTTGCTGTAGCCTGTGGTTCCCGGCTGGTATGCAGGTGTGAGGGATGGAGGCGGTGAGAAATGGGCAGGGGGAGAAACAATGGTGGACAGAGACACAGGCAGAAACACGACAGTGGATGGAAGGAATGAAGGAAGGAAGGAGGGAGGGAAGGAAGAAGGAAGGAAGGAAACACCACAAGAACGGAAACGGAGAGAAAGGTTACAATATTTGCCAAGACCACTTTGAATCAGAAAGAAGTAAAAGAAAACACACACACACATACATACCCCTTCCCACTCATTCAAATTGATACAGCCTTTTTCCTTCCTTCCTTGCTTCCTTCCTTCTTTTTGTGTGTCCGTGTGTGTGTGTGTGTGTGCGTGCGCGCGCGCCACACATGGGGCTTGAACTCAGGGCCGAGGTGCTAGCTAGTTAGCACTCTACCACTTGAGCCACAGCCCCACCTCTGGCTCCTTCAGATTAACTGGAGATTGGAGTCTCACAAACTTTGCCACTCAGGCTGGCTTCAGGTGGAAGCCTCCTGAGTAGCTAGGATTACAGGTGTGAGCCACCAACATCCAGCCATTCATCTGTACTTCTAGTTTCAGTGAAGAGGACTACATACTCCAACTCCAACGCTAAAGTCTTCTTTTTCTTTCTTATGTTCTTTTCATCCTAAGCCAAATGCCAAGGCAGGAAGAACAGATGACACCTGGTCCCCTCCAGAGGTCACAAGGACTCAGATGAAAAAGCAGAAAAAAAAAGCTTTCTCAAAGACACACTTTCTGTTGGTTACCCAGCAAGGTGCTTACCACCACCTGCCGGACTGACCACTTCTCTGAGAGATGAGAGGTGGGTCATTCTCTACTGAGCCAGCTAACTCCAACGAGCAGAAAGGCGCTTTCGTAGTACTTGAGTTTTTATCTTTCGCAGCCAGAACTGCTGCTGGAGAGGAACAGCCTCCCTTCCCTGAACCGCATGCTGCATGCTGGGTTTGTGGAAGGGACACACTCTGCGGGGGAAGAGGCCAGCACATTCTACAGAGGGGTGAAGAATATCCCCGCTGAGAAATACAGGGCAGAAAGCAAATTCTGGGAGCAGGGTTAGAAGAGGCAGTAGCCGGGAGAGGAAGGAGAGCTCTGTACTGTGAAGTACCAAACTCTAGGAGTCCAAGGGTTGAAACGCAACCAAAACTTCTCTGCTTTTTTTCTATGGTTGAGGTCCTGTTTCTTAAGACCCATCTAGTGACCCACTGATCCTTCTGGACATGAGATGAGGTTTTTCACAGACACGAAATTTCCTCGTGACCCTTGGAATCCGCCACGTGGTCCCTGCCCTAGGGGACCCTGACATTAGTAGTTGGATCATGCTGGAGTAGGGTTAAGACAAAGGGACAGCCTTGTCTTGGAGGGAGGACAGTTGTTCAGGCAGCAAGAGCAGGTACCACAGATCTGAAGGATTCTGGAGTTCCTGCCAGGAGCCAGCTTCAATCTGGGAGCAGTGCCACCCTTTCCCTCAGCCATTTTCCTGAGTGACTTGGCTCCTGTTTGGTCACTACAATGATACTCTCTGGGCTGGGAGCAGTGAGGATGACATACAGGAGCAGAAAATACTGATCAGGGCCCGGGAGAAAACCTCTTCTGTGTTGCTTAAAAGTTCCTGGTAGCTTGGCTCTGGTGGACAAGAGAAACTGCTTTGGGAAAAGGAAGGGTTTTTGAAATGTAAAGTTTTATCTTCCTTGATTTTCCAAGATGGAATTAAGACACACCTCTGATTGTTCAGGGAATAGCAGAGGTGTGGCTATGTTTTGAGATGGTTAATATTTTATAAGATTCAAACTAGCCAGTCTGAGCAGATTGTGAACCTGAGTTCAGCCTATCAGAGCAGAGGGGTGGGGCCTGCTCCATCCCGGATAATCAGGGCAGCTGCCTGCTTGTTCTGGGGTTGCTTGACAGATTCTTGGCTGATGGCACACTTTTCTGCAGAAGTAAAATTTGCTTTGCTGGGACAACTCTCTATTTTCATGTCTACCGTTGTGACTCCAGTGGTTCTTGGAGAGCACATGTATTACAGGTCCTCAGTGTAGACCCTGCCCTGTGCTCTAACATAGGGGCTTCGGCCCCTCATGGCACCTTTCCTAGAGTGGCTGTCTCTTTTTTTTTTTTTTGGGTCCGGGTCGTGGGGCCTGAACTCTGGGCCTGGGCGCTGTCCCTCAGCTCTTCAGCTCAAGGCTAGCGCTCTACCACTTGAGTCATAGCACCACTTCTGGCTTTTTTCATTTTGCTTATGTGGTGCTGAGGGATTGAACGCAGGGCCTCAGGCATGCAAGGCAAGCGCTCTACCACTGAGACACCTTCCCAGCGAGTGGCTGTCTCTTAAGATTCACAGATTCTCTCCAAGGCTTCTTTGCCTTTCTGGTACAAGATGGGGCTAAATCACATCAGTCACCAAACAGCCTGCCTGGCAGGTCTGGGGAAGCTGAGTCAGATAGAAAGAAAGGCAGCTCTTTCTCTACCTTTTAAAATGTGAGCTTCTCCCTGAGTTATATTCTGTCTCCGGCTAACACATACAGCCGGGGGGATTTATCAGCAGCATGAAGTCAGCCTTCCTTCCTCTGAGAAATACTAAAGGCAGCTAAGGTGGGATGGAAGCTTTGGTCATGCAATTTTCGGCATCAGAGAAGCTGCCAAGTCTTCCCTGGGTAAGGGGAACCCGGGGCAGAACCTTGAGGGTAAAGAGAGGACCACAAGCATCACTTACTCTCTACTGACATAGACACTGCTCTCTGTGCTGGGAAGGCCGGGAATGGGGGTAGGTAGCCAGCTAGATGTGTGAAAAAAAAACCCAAGTGCAGCTATCTGGAAAGCACAGAGCTTTTCGTGTGGAACCTGCTCTTGGAGATGGGTTTTGGATGGGGAGGGATCTGGGACAGAGGTGGGAAGGCGGGCAAGGTGGGTACCTTTACATGTACCCGCTGCTTCTTCCTTTGAGAGATGCTGGAGCCACTGGCCTTGCAGAAGTTCTCTGTCCCAGGGGCAATACTCCCCTTCTACAGCAGGGGGAGCCAGACACCCACCGACAGCACCAAGAATCCCACAGAGGGGCAAGTGGAGAGGGACAGGAAGGAGGAAAGAGAACAGAAAGCAGAGTTATCTCCAGCGGCCAGCAGTGGGGTCCGGTCGCTGCCCACAGGTGTCCAGATCCTCACATCCGCCCAGAAGACACACATCACAGGCTTGGGACAAGGGCTAGCCCGTGAACACACCGAGCGTGGCTGGGCTGTGCGACACGTACTTCTCTGGTTGAAGCTCATTTTCTGCAGGCCTGATCTTGATACTGGCTCTAAGAGTAGGCAGTTAACTCCACTTAAGGGGGCCTGGGGAAGGTCCTGGAAGACTGAGCTATGTGGGTCCAAAGATAGCAAGCTTTAGCCCTCACTGGAAGCAACGATATCCACAATGAAGTGAGTTCACAAGGTACTTTCCTGGGTGTGAGCTGGGAGCAGGCTGGGGGCAGGGGGCAGCCGTGTGTCTACAGCATGGCAGACGTGGCTGGGACGAGAGGACCCCAGGCCCCAGCCATGGTCTCTGGCTTCTTGTGCGGACCCTCATCAAGTCTCAGGAAACTGCGTGAGCGCAGGGCCTGAGCCTCCGTGTGCTACCCTCGTGGCACTCTGCCGTGGCCTTTGGAGGAGAAAGTGCACGAGGCCTGGCGGAGCAGTTCCCGAGGGAAGTTTTTTTTTTTTTTTTTAATCGGTCGTGGGGCTTGAACTCTGGGCCTGGGCGCTGTCCCTCAGCTCTTCAGCTCAAGGCGAGCGCTCTACCACTTGAGCTATAGCGCCACTTCCGGTTTTGTGGTGGTTTATTGGAGATAGGAGTCTCACGGTCTTTCCTGCCCGGGCTGGCTTTGAACCGCGATCCTCAGATCTCAGCCTCCTGAGTAGCTAGGATTACAGGCGTGAGCCACCAGCGCCCAGCGTCGAGGGAAGTTTTTTAAAGGCCCCCAGGGAGGCCTTGGGGTCAGGTGGTCCCTTGTCTTCCCTCATCAAGTGTCTCCAGACAGCACTGTGTGAACACGAGTCCTGCCTGAGAAAGGCTCAGGTGCTGAGGTGCCAGAGGAAATAGGTGTCGGGTGGGCCTGGGCAAGGAGCACACTGGAAAAACAGACAGGCAACCTCACTTCAACCCTCCGCCACACCCATGCCTCCAGACTCAACCTGCTCTGCACAGAAGGAAGGAGTAGGGCTTGGAACCTTCTCTTTGGTTCTGTGCTCCTGCAGAGCAAGAACAACCCTCCTGGGGCGTCACATCTCTACCTGTCACCCACGGGACCTCCGTGGCTCCAGGGCAGGGAAGGAATGTCCCTCTGTCCTCAGGTTTTCCCCTCACAGCCAGAGAGAAGGAGGGAATGGAAAAGTCCACCGCAAGAAGCTATCTCAGAAGCAATCAGAACAAGTGCACACTGAAGATGCTCCTTCTCCACCAGCTCCATTGTGACCACAGATCCTCTCTGTCCCTGGCACTGAGGCCCAGTAGCCTCAGCTTTCAAGATAGCACCAGAGACTCCTTTAAAGAGCTAATTTCCCTCCCCTTAGTAAAATACATTTCACTAATTGACACTATGGGGGGTGGGGGAGACAAAGGAGGAAGCAGGAACGAGTATCCTAATGTAGACGGAGACTTTGCACTGGCCCCTGGCTTCCACTTCCGGTTAAAGTACAAAGGTGCACAAGGGACATTATCGCATTGCAATGCTCTGCCAGACACCCGTATCTTTCCTCCGCACCAGACCTGAGATCAGGGAGTGAGGGAGGGGGAGGAGGGGGGTCTTTCTGGCTCTGAGATCAGGAAGTGTGGAAGGGGAGGAGGATCTTTCTGGCTCTGACTTAAGATAGAGGAGAGGGGGCGGGGAGAACACCATCTCTGGCTCTGAGGCAGTCAGTGTACAGCGAATTGTGGCCGCAGCCACTGTGCCTCTTAAACTCACACCTGGCTCCAGGGGAGAGGGTCAGGGCTAGGGAGTAGTTTCTGACCTTCACTGGATTCTTCCTCCTCTTCATCATATTCTTCCTCTTCTTCATAGTCCTCTTCCTCCTCCTCCTCCTCTTCTTCCCCCTCCTCCTCTTCCTCCTCAGGCCCAAAGCCCTTGGAGGCCTCCAGGTCCTCCTCACTCCTTCCTTTCAGAAGAGCGTGGATCCTCACTGCCTCTTTCCAAGGAACACCACCCAGATCAGAGGTGGGCAGCTGGTCTTCCTCATCATCCTCTTCCTCCTCCTCCATCTCCGACTCGGAACTGCTGCGAGGAAGGACCACATAATCCACGTGAGGGGTTACATCACACGGAGAAGGGAAGGCTGGGAGCAGAGGCCCAGCAGAGTGGGAGGGGACGTGGGGTAGGAGGACAGGGGGTAGGGTGCACAGCCCAGCCTGTGGGCACAGTGGCCAGCAGGCTCCACCACTGAGGGGTCACAGAAGGCCACAGGAGCAGAGCAGGGGCATGGACTCCTTCTGCTACGACCTCATGACCCTCAGTACTGAGGAAAGAGAGAACGTTCTTTTTTGCTCTGGCCACTATTTGGTGGAGGGAACTCAATTCTATTCTACTTAGGTTGGCTAGAAGCCTCTCATGAGAACCATGGGGGTATAGGCATGCACCGGCAGTCAGGATGTATGTGCGTAGTGAGGAGCGCAGAGGAGGCAGCAGCCCGATTTAACGTGATGGTGATCCTTGAGAGCCCAGTCCCCCCCCCCCCCCCCACCCTTCACACTGCTGGCCACACAGACGTGGGGCCAGGGTCCCATCAGGCAAGCAGGCCCAGCACCAAAACACTGGAAAGATCAACCCCTGGGCCACCCTACCTGACAAACAGCTCTATCCTCCACTCTGGTTCTGTTCACAGAAGAGGCCAGCTCAGGCTGGAACAGAGCAGCACTTTACAAGAACACCTTTCCCTGGCCCAGCCCTGGCTTTCAGGATAAAGCACTCGACCTATGGAGTCGCGCCCCAGGGGCATCAGGCTCCCTGGTATTCTGTGAAGGCAGGGTCCTCTGCACCAGACGTGCGGTGTCACAGCCCAGCTGTGAGCACACAGGGTCAAGGACAATGATGTGCACTATCAGGGCCACTGGTTCTGTGTAGGGAGAGTCTGACTGTCCCAAACAGGTATGCCCTTGTCCTCAACTTAGGGGAGGAAAACGCCTGGCCCCCTGGGATTCTGTCTAAGAGGACTGCCTGGGACCTTGGGTGGTACTAAGTCTAGTAAGCAGATGCAAGTGAAGGCTAGCCATATCCCACAGTCTTACTTTGGGGGAGGGAACTGGACATACCATAAAGACCGACGATGTGATTTGGTATGGGCTCTGAGCCAAATGGTACCGGCCAGCAAAACTCCAAACTCCCAAGCCTGGGTGGGTGTACTCAGCCCACACTGTCGCACACTGACACCAAGAAAGCAACACACAGTCCTGGTCCCACTTCGCTAGAACGCTGGGAAGCTCTGGAGTCTGGCAGTTTGCTCACACACTTCTTTCCTTGGCTGATTTTTTTTTTTTTTAAAGCCGGCTTCCTTCCCTTGTAACAAGCCACGGCCACGGTGTGACAGCTCTTGTTGAGTTCTGTGAGTCCTTTTCTAGACAAGGGTTGGGTCTGAAAGTGGCTGGGAAAACTCCTGCATCTGTGGTTGGTGTCACAAGTGACAGCAGACTGGCCCTTTGGACCACATGACCCCAGGGGTGACTATTATGCTCTCTGACCCTTGGCTTTTTTTATTTTTTGCCAGTCCTAGTGACTGAACGCAGGGCCTGGGCACTGTTCCTGAGCTTTTTGCTCAAGGCTAGCACTCTACCACTTGAGCCACAGCGCCACCTCTGGCTTTTTCTGCTTATGTGGTGCTGGGGAATTGATCCTGGGGCTTCATGCATGCTAGGCAAGCACTCTACCACTAAGCCACATTCCAAGCCCCAATGACCCCATGACTTTCTTACCACCTGGGTCTTGGTTATGCTATGGAGGTCAGGGATCACTGACGTTCATCAAGGTCTCACGATGTACCCCAGGATGGCCGGGAACTCTCAATGATCCCTAAGCGCTGGAGTTATAGGTGCACAGAATGAGCACGCTGAACGCCCACTGCAGCTAAGCCAGTGGATGCAGGAATAAGAACTGACTCCCTCCTGCAAGCTGTGGCCTGCCTTACTCAGTTAGCCACCCAATTATAATGTGCCCAGTGTCCTCGGCTCACAATACATTTCCTAAACACCCAGGAGTAAAGGCAAAGATGACAGGGGCAAGATGCATGTTCTCAGAGGGGACAAGGCACAAACACATCATGATAAGTCAGGTAAAGGGGGAGGAGTTGGCGTCACAGGTCATGAATGTAGGGATCTGAACCATGGAAGACTTGGCATCTGTGTTCGATCATGTTTCAGCATTTATGTATTTATTTTTGGGTCGGTCGTGGGGCTTGAACTCTGGGCCTGGGCGCTGTCCCTCAGCTCTTCAGCTCAAGGCTAGCGCTCTACCACTTGAGCCACTGAGCCACCTCCAGGTTTCTGAGTGGTTTATTGGAGATAAGCACCTCACAGATTGCCCGGGCTGGCTTTGAACCTCAATCCTCAGATCTTAGTCTCCTGAGTAGGATAACAGGTATGACTTAATATTTTTTTTTTTAACTGGAAATATTGTTTGCTCTTCTTGAGGGTAGTTTGCTTTCTTTGCATGGATTTTGAATGGATCTGGTATGTGCCATGTAATATGGTTCAAAGACAAAACCAGGTCAGAGCTGCAATCATCTTAAACCTTTGCCTTTCCTCCACAGCTGAGTGTCCGCAGGCTTGTTTGGGTCACAGTAGTAAGCCAGCAGGCTGAGCTGCACTGCCCCCAGCTTCCCGAGAGAAGGGAGTTCCTAGCCTGACCTCAGTCATATCATGACATGGGGATGGCCACACTGCGTAATGTGGGCACTGAGAAAAGTCTCCGGTAATGAAGACAGTGAGGTCTCACTGATCAATTTTAGTGCCACTCTGGATGCTTTATGGCAGCTCAAGGACTGGAGTGTGAAGATGAGAGAGGAAAGGTCAGCCCTCATCTTTCTCTGTAAGCGACAAGCTCAGAGGCTCTGCCATTTCCTGGAGCTCAAGACAAGCAAAGCAGCCTTCCTCTGTGGGCAGGGAGGTCTGGAATTTGACAGGTGGGGCCAAAGGCACTGACTCAGAACCACCCTGATCCTCCAGGGCCTCCATCCTGAGCAGCAAGGGCTATAGGCATGATCCACTGGTGCCTGACTCAGCTTACAAACTATTTTTTTCCTGTTGTTGCTGGTCCTAGGGCTTGACCTTGGGGCCCTGGCCATTGTTCATTGTTCCTGAGCTTTTGGACTCAGGAACTTGAGCCACTCTACCACCTGAACCACAGTTCTACTTCTGGCTTTCCGTGGTTCACTGGAGATAAAACTCTCATGGACTTTCCTGCCCAGGCTAGGCTTTGAACCATGACCCTCAGATCTCAGCCTCCTGAGTAACTATGATTACAGGCATGAACCACCAGTGCCAGCCATCAGCCTAGAAACTCTGTGAGGAGACTCCCTACAGGAGAAAAAAAAAGCATCACAGACAGCCTAAAGCACTCTTAGGTTCTGGGGGCATCACTGCGGAGGGAAGCTGGCAGAGGATGGTGAGGAAGGCTGTGCCTGAGGGGGCTCTGCCTGGGGTTCCCCCTGAAGTTCTCTGAGGCTTCTCAAAGGGAAACAGGAACCACAGCCTTCCACCCGAAGACTCTAGTCAAGGACTCTGCGAACTGCTGTCCTGTTCAGCCAAACACCAAAGTGCCACCCACACTGAGACCTCATGAACACTGCCAAGCAGGTAACATCAACCAGTGACCTTCACATGGGTGAAAATCAAGCATGTGCTCAACCCGGCGTCTGCTCAGCCACTGTACAGATACTGCCTCTGCTGGACAAGGCAAGACAGGGGAAGGACAGGCAGGAAATCCCATTTATTCACGCTCTGCCACACACGATGATGCCATCTGGTTCCGGGAAGCCCACGGAAACGTTCATCTGTGAACACTAAAGAACTTACAGCACCTGGCACAGCACAGGCCTTCTTCTTTGCTTTGAGCAATGAGGGAAACCAATATTAAAACCAGAGGTTGGCTGGTGGTAGATGCTTGCCTAGCCTGTTCGATTCCTCAGTACCACATACAAAGAAAAAGCCAGAAGTGGTGCTGGGATTCAAGTGCTAGAGCGCTAGTCTTGAGCAAAAGAAGCTCAGGGACAGTGCCCCGGCTGAGTTCAAGCCCCAGCACTGATGAAAACAGAAACAAGACAAAACAACACCAAACCACAGAGTCAGTTTTCCCTGGCCTTGGGCCAGGAAATTAAAATTAAAAATGCATCCTCTAGAGTCCTCTAGAAGGCAGGCTCCACCCAACTTGGAAGGAGGGTCAAGAGGCTGCTGAGTCCTGGCGCAAGGTGCCTGTGTAAAGTCAACCATGGAGCTGATCATAAACATGATCAAGAATGTCTGTAAAAGACAGCCATTCCCACTCCACACCTTAGGGGAGGGCCCAGGAACTGCTTTTGCACCAAATGTCCCAGTGGTGTTTACCATCAGGAAATCTGGAAATCTTACAGTGGCAATTCACAAATCACCCAAGAAATAAGGAAAAATGAAACTCTTTTGTGTCTTTCCAGGCTGGTTCCATCAGTGTCTTGGCCTGGCTACCCACTGCAAGCCCTCAAGGGCTGCAGGCACCATGAGCAGGCCACAAGGAAACTCAGGCCGGAAGGCTGCAGGGAGATGCAGGCTGCAGGGAAACGCAGGCCGGAGGGAAACACAGGTCAGTGCAGTGACTGTTGACTGTGTATAGGTTACAGGTAAGGCTACTGACAGAGCAGGGAAGAGCAGATGAGACAGCAAGAAAAACAGGAAGAACCCTAGGCTTGGACCCAGAAAAACTGAGATAGGAAATCAGTTCTACTCCTAGCTCTGCCCACTTCCTCGCCTATGTAGAGGGACACAACCTCACAAGCAGAGGATGATCAAAGCACACAGTCAGCACCAGGCAGAGAAGCCCGATACCATGTACTGTTTTAGAACCACATTCCTATTTCCCCCTCTAGTCATCACACCAATTAAATGAGGAAGGAGCTAGCATAGGTTTCATTTTACAGACAAAGAAACCGAGGCATAAAAAACGACAAAGTTTGCCTACAGCTCCATTGCTGGAAAGTGTCTGAGCCAGGATTTCCACACAGTCTGGCTCAGATTCCATCTTTAAGAAGCTCCCGGCTACCCTCCAGTGAGGTGCTTTTCATCTGAGGACCCAAGAGCCTGGCAAGCCACGGGCACTGACCTGCTGGCCACGTCCTCTTCGGTGCCTTTGTCCAGCACGCTGCTTAGGTTGTGCTCTGCCTGGGTCTCCTCAGGCACCTCCTCCAGCTCCTCGGCCAGTCTCACAGACCGGCGGTAGTTCTCTAGCTCGATCCTCTCGGGGGTGCCCCTCAGCCTCTTGGCGATGCTAGGCTCCTCCAGGCCATTCACACCGGGACCTGAGGGACAAACACGGAGGCCCAGTTCTGAGGATGCAGCATGGACCAGGACTGCAGCCCCAGGATGAAGGATGTATAGAGAGGAAGGAGAGACCATCTAGGTACCGAGGCACTGCCCTTCACTAAAATGAAGACAGGACCTCCATGAAGTCTGAACATTCGGCCACTAAAGGTAAAGGCAAAAGCAAACAAACAAAAAACTCCATGGATTTGATAGAAGCTGGGAAAGGAGGCTGGTAGGAGAGGAATAAAGATCACATGACCACGTCTACTTTCTTTTCTTTTTTTGTTGGTCATATGGCTTGAACACTGGGCCTGGGAGCTGTTCCTCTGCTCTACCACTTGAGCCACAGCACCACTTCCAGTTTTCTGGTGGTTTATTGGAGATAAAGTTTCACAGCTTTTCCTGCCCAGGCTGGCTTTGAACCATGGTCCTCAGATCTCAGCCTCCTGAGCCACCGGTGCCTGGCCACGTTTACTTTCTGTATCACCCCTGAGCCCCAGCCTGATTGAACGAAGCCAGAAACAGACAGGGATGACAGGGGTATGGGAGACCTTCAGGTAGCTCTTCTCACTACTCAGAAGGGAACCACATAGCTCTAAAGTCACTGCCTGGGGCCAAGTTCTTCAAGCAACCCAGCCTGAGTAGTCTCGGAGCGGGGCAAGGTCTCTGCCTCAAGTCTGGCTGCCTCCATGGAGGTATCTGGGCAGCTGTTTGACTGTATTCTCACACTAGACCTGCCTACGCCACTGGGCCAGATTCATGAAAACAGTTTTTGTGAACAAACACACCACACAGTTATTTGTTCAGTAAAGGATCGAGCCAGGCTTGACTGAGTGGCATGAGTGGTCGACACCTAGCACTGACATTTTTTCCTCTAAAAAAACTGTCACCTTTGGGCAATACTCAGAAATCATAGCAGCTGGGCACTGGTGGCTCATGCCTATAATCCTAGTTACTCAGGAGGCTGAAATCTGAGGATCAAGGTTCGAAGCCAGCCTGGGAAAGGAAAGTCCGTGACACCCTTATTTCCAGTTAACTACTAGAAAATCGAAAGTAGAGCTGTGGCTCAAAATGGTAGAGTGCTAGCCTTGAGCAGAAAAGCTCAGAGACAACACCCAGGCCCTGAGTTCAAGCCCCACAACCAATAACAACAAGAACAACAAAAAAAAAGAAAACACAGGAGTGCCCTGCCCCCAGTATTCCTTTGTCCGGTGGTCTGTGCATCTGTTGATGATCTATGCCTGTCTATTTGTATAGCAAAAGATAATTTTTTAGAATTGTTATTCCTATTCTATTGTTCCTTTGTACATTTTTCAGTTCTACCATAGACTTATAGTCTTTTTTTCTTTTTTTGGGGGGTCCAGTTGTGGGGCCTGAACTCTGGGCCTCAGCTCTGTCCCTCAGCTCTTCAGCTCAAGGCTAGCGGTCTACCACTTGAGCCACAGCGCCACTTCTGGCTTTTTTCTTTCTGCTTATATGGTGCTGAGGAATCGAACCCAGGGCCTCATGCATGCAAGGCAAGCGCTCTACCACTGAGCCACCTTCCCAGACCCTCATAGTCTTTTTTAAAACTTAAAAATATTGTGTTTGAGACTCCTATGTTTCCCTTAATCTAGATCAGCGCCCTGTCTCCTTTCTAGACCATTTCTCTCTGATCTCCGTGTCAATCACCCCAGTTTGGGCTAGAAGCCCCCATTTCCCTCGGATGTCCCTCTCACTCACCCCAGTTGGGGTTGGAGGCCCTCCACATTCCTGTCTGATGTCCCTATCTCCCCAGCTTTGCTTGAAAACCCCAATTGATCCTGCTGTAGCCTGACATGGTAGAGAGGTACAAACTCCTCCAGGAACTGGAAGAGAGAAAGAAATCAGAAAAAAAAACTATATAACTGGGAGGGAAAAACTGGGAGAGTGAGGAGAGTCATTATCTGACTTATGTAACTGTAATGCTTCTGTACATCACCTTAATAACAAGAATAAAAAATTATGTAACTACTCAGGGTTCATACGGTCTTACAGGTTATGATGCCAACCTCCCAGGGTTATTAGTATGAATGCTGAATGAAATTATAAACATATGGACACATTGTGGAATGCCGACTCGGTTCCACTGTGACTTTGTTACTTAAGCCTTGTACACAGGTGGTATACTGTAAAGCAACACATATGACATCCAGTAGCAATTCGTATAGACCTCTGCAGAAGTGTATGTGTGGTCTTGGCTTATTATAGACCACAAACATTATCACATGACAGAGACGGGAGGAAGCAGAAATGTGAAGGAATATAACATGTACTTGTGTTTAGGTCTTACTGGGCTTACTAGCAGGGGTGGAGAAGCAGGAATGCAGGTGGCAGCGGGTCACGCATGGGCTTGTGATCTGTCCAGGGAAGGTTTATGGTTTCTGTGACATTCTAAAGTAATAGCAGTCATACGGGATCCCACCAGGTCCCAGGTGGACCTTTATTAAAGGATAGGAGTTGGAGTATTGTTCAGCAATGACTGGCAGGTTGCACAGATAATGCTCTGGAGGCCTGGCATTTCTGTTGTATACAGGATTTTGAACCTCTCAACTGCATGAGAAAGAGCCCCAGGTAAGTACTAGGGTAAAAAGGTGGCGCTAGAGTTACAGGAAGATGATTTCAAGTTTGTAGAGAAATTTTCCCTGGACAGAAGGGTCTACAAATACAGGTGTATGCCTGGTAATGAGTTTACCTGAGCCCTGGCCTACCAGTGCCTAGACCACCCATCTGTCATTTTAAACATCCATACTACATTCTTTCATACCAACATATTTTCAATATGAAGGATGTAAAACCTCACAGAACTATCTTAGAGCAGAGAATCCGGCATGTGGAACAACAGACAGTCTACCTTCCTCCCAGTGGTTTTTTTTTTTTTAGATTGCCCAAGGCCTGCAGACAAGTAAATCATCAAGCATCAGAACTTGGCAGTCCAAGCCTGAAGCCTGGGAAGGAGAAATGTTGATTTAATTCTGGGCTTGGCTACAATGAACAAAAAAGAAACCAGAAGCACTGAGAACTATCCAGACCATTCATACATGAAGCCCCTAGAGAAGGATGTTCTGGCCACGAAAACTGCAAGGGCTCTTGCTGGAGAGTTTGCAAAAACTAAGATAGAAGGTTAGGTGGGGTAGCACAAATCTCAGCACTCAGGAAGCTGAGCAGAAGGATTACAAGTTTAGAGGCAGCCAGAGCTAAGACAGTGCCATTTTCAAAACAACAAAACACGGTAGGGAGTAGAGCTGCCTCTGTCCAATACACGTCCACCCAGGCAGTTCCCACACCTCCAGCTCCCCCTGGCTGTTAGCCACAAGGGAACGCAGGAAGGCAGGGTGTCTGAGGGCTCATTCCCCACGGAGGTGGAGCAGGAAGGCGGCCCTCAGATGAGGCGAGGCCAGTTCTTACAATCCACCCTAAGCTTAACATCCCCAACCCGTGACTCTAAAGTACTCTGGGGGAAACGCAAAAGCAAATAAGCAAGGGGTTCTCTGGGTCACACTGGCCAGATGGGTGATGACAGACTCAGAGAGCAGAAAGTGAGAGTGAGGGAGGCCTGGGCAGTGGCCACCTGGCCCTGCTTCAGCAGATAGAAGAGCCTAGAGGAGATAAAGTTACTGGCACTTGATGTACCTGGCCATGCTTCCAGTCTCAGCTGCCTAGGAGGCTCACGTGCGCCCAGGAGTCTGAGACCAGCCTAGACAACACAGTAAATCCTATCTAGGGGGAGGGGGCCCAAATCACCGGCAGGAGCTGGTTTGGAAAGGCAAACAACTAGCTGGGCCAGGCGGCTGGGTCAAGACCCACATAGCCCCTGCACTCCACACGTCTCAGTGTGACTGCAGCTGCATAGGGACTTTCCAGCTAAACGCGGAATGAAAGAACTTGGGATAATTTCCAAGGCCAATACATCACTAAGTAAGTCAGGGCGGGCAGAGCTCAGGGCATGGGGAGGCCAATTATAGCCTCACACATACCAAAAGAAAACAGCTCCCAGGATCTGGGCTGCATCCTAAATAGGAAGAAGGCTCTGGGCTTGACTTGAGGCTCTGCCCGCAGTAAGCTCTAGACATCATTCTAAAAGAATGGGCTGGGAAGGTGGCTCAGTGGTAGAGCGCTTGCCTTGCATGCCTGAGGCCCTGGGTTCGATTCCTCAGCACCACATAAGCAAAAAAGAAAAAAACCGGAAGTGGCGCTGTGGCTCAAGTGGTAGAGTGCTAGCCTTGAGCTGAAGAGCTGAGGGGCAGCGCCAGGCCCAGAATTCAGGCCCCATGACTGGACCAAAAACAAAACAAAAAAGAAATACTTTGTAATAGGACAGCTCTCAGCTGACTCAGCCCAGCTGCCACAGCTTTATTTGTTCTGCCTGGTTCCTGGAAAGACGGAGGGATGAAGAGGAGAAAGCACAGCATCTCCCAGGGCGTCAGTGGACAGCTCTCCTCCTGCATCCATTTCTGGCCTTCCTGCAGTGGCAATAGGACCCCAGTGCTTAGGTCACTTCAGGGTTTGGGGCATATAAGAGATCATGACACTTGAAAACCTTATTCTCCTCTACTCTGAATGATTTTCTGGCCCATTTTCTTTCCTTTTCCCTTAAAAAATACTTTAATCAGCCAGGTGCCAATGACTTATGCCTGTAATCCTAGCTACTCAGGAGGTTGAGATCTGAGGATAGCAGGCAGTTCAAAGCAAGTCTGGGCAAAAAAGCCTATGAGATTCTTATCTCCAATTAACCAGCAAAAGAAGAGCTGGAAGTGGAGATGCGGTTCAAATGGTAGAGCACTAGCCTTGAGCAAAAAAGCTCAGGGACAGCACCTAGGCCCAGAGTTCAAGTTCCAGGGCTAGCATTAAAAAAAGAAAAAGATTTTAATCAACATATAAGTTATGCATACTTATGGAGTGTAATATGATAATTTAGTACACGTAAGCTTTGTATTATACATTGCTTTTTTATATACACATAGAATCAAAGTAATCA